AAAAAAAAAAAAAGAACATACTCTGTCTTCAGATGGACCGGCTGAAAGCCGAGGATTCAGCCACGTATTACTGCGCAAGAGACACAGTGAGGGGAAGTCAGTGAGAGCCCAGACACTAGCCTCCCCTGCAGGAAGGAGACTGGTCTTCAGGGGGTTCTCAGGGCCCACAGAGCACAGGACTCAGACCCAGGAGTAGGTGCAGCTGGAACTTCAAGTCTGGCTTCCTGTGGGGATCTGCAGATTCTTCTAAATCTCACAGTCTCCCCACGGAATATATCTCTCACTTAAAAATAATAATTCTGTTACTACTCCTGATACCTGCAAATTCAAAAGTTTTACTGTAACAGGAGAATATAGTCTGTCTTACAGCAACAAACAGCCTGTCCCTTAAGGACAGGAAATGACCCTGCCAGGCATCACCTGTACCAGAGTTCTAATGAAGTTCAGATAAATAAATTCAAATTATATTGTCTTTTCTGGAATCCTAGCTGCAAACACATATACTTATCAATTATATCTCATTATCTCAGTGTTAATATTTTGTATCTGTCTATACTTCAGGACCCTCAGCTCCCAATGGTCAATACAGACATGAACTTATCTGTGAAAATTCAGGATTCAGGGAGATCTATAGGACCAAATGGGATCATTCAGTTCTTCATATCAGATTTTGTCTTCACTTTCACTATCCCACAGAATGTCAACCCACTGTGTCTGGTTTCAGCTACAGCATCCACATTTGTACTGTTAATCAACTCACCCTACTTCTGGTGACTTTGCTAGTAATTTATTTTAGGATATCAGCAACATGCCCAGTACTTAGTGACACACAACTTTAAGTGAGCAGGGAGAAGGCAGTATGACTCCAGAACTCCAGGTGAAGAAAGGGATCTGAGCTGCACTCTCCTCCATTATCTTCTTTTTGTGTATTCTTTGTTTCCCTTGAGCATACTTTACATTATTGTCTAGGGATGTTCTTTATTTTTCTATTATAATTGTTTGCAAAAAATAAATCCTACTCTATTTTTTTCTTTGTGTATTCATCTTTGTATTCGTCTTCTTTGTGACCTTGTTTATCATACTACTTATAACACTTGTAATGACATTTTCCTTGATATTTGTTAGCAGAATCATCATATTGAGTTTGGGTTTCATATTTAAATTTATGGTACCCATCTGTGTGTCCAGCGTGAATCTCATGTTGATGTTGTATGAATTATGACGCCTTTATTACCCTTTTGTATGACTCATCACTTTTTGTGGATGGATGGACACATTCAGTATGATCTACACGTCAGCATGTTGTGTTATTTACGATGTTTTCCCTTGGGGTTGGATAATAACCTAACTCCTGCTGGACTTTTAGTGTCAAAGTTTGTGAAAATATAGTCAAAGGTACCATTTTTAATTAATTATATGCAATGTCCATCACAGTTAAAATTAGTTTTTTTTCTAAAAGTTAATCTGGGTAGACTAGAGAAACAAACCCATAGAAACTCGCATGTATATAAGAGAGAGTTTTGTATAAATGTTAAGTGTACATTAAAAAAGCATCCCGACCCAATGCTGTCCATGCCCATATGTCCAACACCAATCTACAAAGTCCTCCTAAATCTCACAAAGCACAGGCAATGGCACCGACTGCAGGAGGAAAGCCGCGATCAGTGAGCGTGGAAATATCTCAGCACTGGCAGGATTCTCCATGTGGCTGCTCCACCACCCAGGGCTGCATTGGGGTAGGTCCATGTGACTTCTCTTCAGGGACCTCACACAGGAAGTGAGCCTTGCCAGCTGAGGCAAAGAACCAGCTAAGCCAGCCGCACACTGTCCTGACCATCTGAGAACAAGAGACCACAGAACTAGAAAGGAGAGGCTCACTGAGCCATTTATCTCTCTGCCCTTCAACTAATACCACCTGTGTTTATCGTCCAGGTTGGCAGAATAAAGCTTAACTATCACAGTACCAAAGGTCTCATATTCCGGTATAAAACCTCATTTTTAATTCTGTTTGGTTTTGTCTTCACTTGTGCTCTC